AACGGTGTCTCTTCAGCCTGCTTTAGAGGGTGTTTGCTCAATTTGGCTGCTGGACAGGCAAGATCACTCGAGAAGAGTTCCGGAATCACATGAGAAATGATACGATGGTGCTTCTTGGCTGAAATGGCGTATGGCGTCGTCCCAACTTCGGACGACGGCACCGGGCAACCTATGTTCACCTATGTTAAACTTCCACAATGACCACCACAATGACGATCCACAATGGCACCCATTTTGAGAAATAGCTATATACCTGGTCGAAGTTCATGTCGACATGTTGGGTTGAGCTGCTGTTTTTAGAATACATTTATGTTACTGACCCAAGGCATGAGTCAGCATGTGTCTCTTTTGCGCAGATTTCTGAATTTTTCTGGTAACCTGCAGGTTACAGTTTTGTTTCAGAATCATTTTCATATACCACCAACAAGCTCTAGTCACTGCATAAATTGGATTGGTCTTACAGACTTGGATGTGATACAGTATGTTCAACTCGAGTTTCACAGTGCTTCCTCCTTTGATGTGTCGCGCGATTCTTTTCGAACACTGAGGTCCTATATGGCCTCCGTAGGGCTTGAACTGCATGATGTGGAGCACCTGGGTCAAAACGCATGGAGCTTTCGGGTACTCGAAGCAGCTGCGCAGATGTGAAACACACGGTTTGGGCACAGTTTGGGCACGGTTTCTCAGAGGGCTCCGAAAACTGGGCTCCTCGAGGTCCCGGTTTCCCTGTTGATGCAGCGGTCAGGCAACCTAACCGCAAGATTGGATGGATTGGGTGGTTTTCTGGTACATCCAGAACAGAGTTTCAAACCAAGCAGTGCCAATCCCTGACTGAGAGCAACTGCTGGCAGCAGAAGCTGAAGCAGATCCCTCATCCGAGCAGCACACCTCAACAAAAACAACTCAGCGACCTCTCTCCACACTATCACGGCAGGTCAAGACTACGCTTGACTTTAGAAGGCTGGATTTCAAGAAATGCGGAGGGAATCACACTTTGATGGCAAAATGCCTCTGATATGCCATCAGTTTGTGATCTCTACATATCTCTACTTGGGAAATGCCATCAAACACTTGCGGCTAGATCCTGGCACAAATAGATTGCAACTAGTGAGATTTTTGAAAACAACTACTTCAAAAGGCCTAAACCACCGGCTGGATTTACATGCAAACATGTGCGCAGCAAGCAGGTTGATGGCATGTGGGCTTCTTGGTGGTGTTTCCATACTCGCCGGCTTTGATCACGATCCTTTCATTTTCCATCATGTTCCATGCTTTTGCTTTCGAAGCTGTTTGAGACATTTGGGACGAGTAAGGGATTTCAAGGACGTTTGACAAGCTTCAGGATTTGCAAGAAAATTTGGGAAGAGTAAGGATTTGCAAGGACATCTGGATGGTAAGCTCTTTTTTACGTAGTTCAGTTGATGTTGGTGAGATGCCATGTTGATGTGTGCAGGTCCGGTCCGGCCAGGTCCGGTTCACATGCAGAGTTCACGCTTCCAACGGAGTCGAAATGCATCATCCCCCAGGCCATCCACGTCCAAAGCATAGGTCTCCGGTAGGGCGGCTAGTGGCGCCCCATGTCCTTCATTTGGTGCGAGAGGCAGCGTGCCATCAAAGTGGGATTCCCTATAATGAAACTGATTCATATCCGCCATTTTAATCCATGTTATGTTTTTTTGGACTTGCAGGGCTGAATTCAACTCAGAGAGTTGTGTGCGTCAAACGAACCAAGCGCCTCAAGAGGGTTCAGTTTGATCTTATGGGTGATTCTTCACCTCTTCAGAAGCAGGTCGTTTGGCCATGCAAAGGGCTTTTGCTTCACAGCTTTGCAGCACTTATGGGTAATACATGTTTCTCACGCCCGAGGCACTTCTTCCGCACTGTAGCTGGGGAGGACCAGGAAGTGAGCATCGACCGTTTTGTGGAGGGCTGCATGGCCGTTTGGTCGCAGGGTGCAGGTTTAGATGCATCGATTGTTTGTGACCGGATTGCTCGAGTTTTGGTTTTTGCGCGAATTTGTAACCATCAATGGGCATGTCTTTGAACAGGGAGGCCCTAAAAACACAACTCTTTCGATCATGGGCTTTGGGGGGGTCTCACCATTTCACACCTCTTCCTGGCCTGAAAGTTGGGCAGGGTCCTTGACCATCATACCATATGTAACAATGAAACCCATGCCATGCTCAATCACACACACACATGAGTCTTTAGTTGCGAAATCCAGTCCTGGTCATGCGGAAGGGGCGAGGCATATACTTAATAATATCGTTTGCTGACTTTGTCAAGTGGGTCGGATGGATTCCATGTACTGATTGTTCGCAAACATCGGGCGAGACACCCAGATTCGCTTGCACAAACAGTCGGGGTAGGACACCCAACGACTATCGATTTGGGTTCAGGATCGGTCGCAGCCCCCAGCTGTGTTTCGCTACGGCCCGGTGTGGCTGGCCCCCTCCAACTCCTTCCAATCCGCTCCATGACTCCTTCTGGGAGTTGTGAAACGATCCATAACGATCCCAACACAACCATATTATACATTACTATGTTTTTTGATTTATCCACCTTGTTATACCTGGTATGGATCATTATTGTTGTCAACAGGGATCCCAGCACAACCATGTATACCTTGCTTTTGCTGCTGATTTTTTCTTGTTCATGTGGTGGTGTCGCGGTGTCTTCGGACCGGACCCCTGGTCATGACCACGACATCAACGGAGGCGTCCGTTGGTGCCCGAAAATGCTTCTGAGTTCTTCTTCTGAGTTGGTGGTGATTGGGAGAATGATTCATGTAGTGTTGTTCAACCACCTGAAAACTTGGAATGGTGATGGTTGAACCCACTGACTCATGTGGTGTCACAGTGATGTTGAAACCACCGGTTACAGTGATTCGTCTCCCTGAGTCCCAGTAGCGACTGCCCACGCAACGTGGGGTGGGATGGGATGTGAAGGGTGTAGGGGTCACCGATGAAATGAACGGATGTTCATCTGTTTACCTGAAACGATGTCCCTTATTGTTTAAAGTTTATATGTATACCTAGGTTTGAGGCCATTGCTTATTGGAAGGTTGGAGGCCATTGCTACTAGTAACAAGAAGCCTCAGGTTGGATGCCATTATACCTAAAATATGTAAGATTACAGGTGATCCATGAGCCTGGTTTCCTTTGGACATGGATTGTTCATGGAAGACAGTTTTGTGCTCTATAAACCATTGAACACAATTTATGCATAAAAATAAATGTATAATAACTATAATATATATATAAATGGTATATATATATATAAATGGTACATGCATGTGTACATACATGGTGTATATATTGCATATTACCCACACTTTTAAGCTCAGGGGGCTACCCATCCGAGGCCATGCGAGGCCACGCCACGGCATTGGATGTACAGCGGCAGCTCTTCGAGAGTGGCTGGGTCTGCAGGAGCGGTGAACACTTGGAGTTTGTATCAGGAAGTAGAAGGGGTTTATATGGTTTGTGTGGCGTGGGTTGTAAAGAAACACACACATGTTTTATCATATCCATTCTTGTTCTCACAAGATGGAGTCACTCACCTCCTCCTTTGAAGAATGAGTTACGATATGTCCCAGTACCATCGGAAGGGAGAGCTTGTTCGATTCTCCTCGACCTTGATGACTGTTCAGTTCCTTTCGCACCGCGATTCTGAAAACCCCTGTTTCCGGGCCGAAGTGCTGCGCGAATGCTGGAAACACGCCCCAGCGGGCGAGAACGCGGCGGCCGGACCGTTACTGAGGCAAAAGGTTGGAGGACAATCTGAATGCCTTCCGCAAAGAGGCACGTGAAAGCTGGTCGAAGGTGGGGCTGCGCAGGGCACGGTACTTGTAGCGTGCACGTGCGTTTTTTTTCCGGGGCGGAAGCGGATGGGCGCGCGGAGCATCCGGAGACAAGAAACGCCACAGTGAAGACAATCCAAAGAGTTAGAAAGGGGAATGCTGCAAGGCTTTACGCTCCATATCCAAAATTGACAGATGTTGACCCTGCAGGCGGTTGATCTCAGGTTTGGGAGATGGGATAGCTTGGGAAGGTATCCTGAACAAGAAAGACATGCTAACAACAGTGATGAGGATGACGACGATGATGTAGATTAGACATTCTTAAGCTCATTGAAACTTAAAACCCTTTGCAAAGGGCCATGACATCGTGTTAAACTCATCACAATTATATGGTTCATAATGTTTCGAACACGATGTGATTGGACCTTCGGGCCTTTGTTCATTTGCCCCACTTGGAGGTGCAGAAGCTCCTCCATCGGGCGTGCAAGAGTGAGGAGATACGGTCCTGAGATGAGGGGGGTTGATGCAGAGAGCCCAAGCGGCTCTGGGGAACAGGCTGCGAACCTGGGGAGTTGGTTCGATCGAAGGGCAAGGCTGTTAGAGCACAATGGCTGTTAGAGGTCAATATCTACACAAGGCTGTCAATGGTCGATTTCTCTCGTCTCGGACACAGCGTCACGAGCATCACGGACACTGAACGGTGTTTTGCTGCTTCTCCTTCAAAAGGCGTCGAGCAGCCGGTCTCACCGCGTCATCCCGGCGACAGCCCTCGAGATCGAGTAAAAGACTGATGACACGAGCCCTGGAGATGCCTCTGATGGAGCCCTGACAACTCACCAAAGAGTTGACAAAGCATGCAGGCAGAGTTCTGCATTTGCCGGAAGAATGCTTTGACCGGGTTGGTTCCAAGCGGAGACAGTCCTGGTACTTTTTGGAGAGGGACTTGACCGCAGCTGCTTGGCAGTGATGTAGTAGCTTGGTAGCTTGTGGTATATTGGCTAGTCACTATTCGACCGCCTGGATATCAGCCTCCACAGTCCCACAGTCCCCGCTTTGGAAACACAGCCAGTCCATCCATAGGTCCATGGGTTGTTGCTTTTCCCGACTCGAATGACGAAAAATACAGGGTGTCAATGTTCAGTTCTGACCTCCATGCTCTCAAGCACCTGACTTCCCCCCAACCTTCTCAAGTCCCAAGGCCAAAGCAGCGGCGAGTGGCCATTCCCCGTGACCGAAGTTTGTTCCAACAGGCGCTTTTTTCATGCCGAGGTCTCGGCTACACGCGGCTACCATGAGTGGGTGTATGTATATATTATATATTTGTTGATGATTGCTGAACAAAAAAGTGGGCACTTGTTGTTAAAGCCAAGAGGATCCTTCGTGAGTGAGAATCTCAGCGACAAACCCTAGCTGGCTGGTGAGTGGGTGCCCGAAACAACACTCCTGGGTCCCGAAGAAAGACGGTATATAGCAGCTCTATGACTCTATGGGGGATGAAGGCTTCTGAGCCGAACCCTTCCAAAATCAGGATACAGTATACAACCTTTTGTGGGTATTACGAGTTCCGGGAAAGGTAGGTCCAAGAGTGAATGGTTTTGGGTGGTTTTGGTTGTTGACTTTGTGCAGACCGGCAGCACAAAGATGCAGAGTGAAGGAAGAGCCAAGGTTACCTAGTGGGAATAGGTGTGTTTGTTGCTAAACAAATGGCTAGGAGTGTATCCTGATCACTGGAACAGTGATCGTGATCTAAAGTAATGCAGCTTCTTGGAGGGAAGACATCAGCAGGAAATGAGAACTTTGCATGAAGTGTCAGCCAGACTTTGTTCAACTTATAGCAAGCACTGGCACAACTGCAGACACCTGCGAGGACAAGCTATGCATACCCCACGGCCACCCATTCATGCGGCACAAACAGAGTATTTGAGATCTCTACGTAACATAACTGTCAACCCTATACATTATGTTGATTCCAAGAAGCATCTCGCACCTTTGACTGCCTGGGATCTTTCTGCGGAAGATCGTAAATTGACTGTTCCCTTACCCCACTCCCAGTCCGATAGTTTGTCATCAGATCCTACTCGTACAGCCAGCTGTGACACAACTCCGCTCAGCCCATCTTTGGATTGGGAAGAATGGTTTCAACTTTCAACAGTCATGAACGAAGAGCAGATAGAACTGATAGCAGCTAGCAACATCACGTCGCGAATGTCATCCGGAATTCGCGGCCGCGGATCTTCTCCGGATTCAGTGACATCGAACTGACGATACGTTTCTTTTCCAATCAGTACCATATTCCTTGTCTACACATCTCATCAATATTAGGGTTTCAGTTTGTCCAGCACTCTATGGCCTGGCAAAACCTGGATGTTGTAACGTAGTCTAGAATGGACCCATTGGCATTGCACTAGCCTGAGAGGGGGCTGGGAAAATGAAGCGTCGGTTCGTTTTGGAGGACTTTCGCTCCTCAGATCCCTGGGTTTTCATCGTGTCTCTCTCCCTGACGCGGGCAGGTCCTCCGCCCGACCTTTTCCGCCGAAATGATGCGGGCTGTGGGGAGCGAGGAACAAAGAGCTGCTGGTGTATCACTGACATATTATGTATTCATATATGTATAATGGTAAACATATATATATACTGACATGTGACATATTCTGACATATAATAGGAAACAGACACGAACAGAGGGGGGGTGTTTCTGGGACAATACTCACACTCAGGGCGTGTTGCCAGATGTTGCCGGTGGCTGTATACTTGTTAGGCTTTCGCACTAGAATTACTCCACATCGACAGTCGTTTTGCAATGTGTTGCCCGATAAAGGCCTCACTTGGAGAAGAGGAATAAATGAAACCAAAAGGGTTTTGCGGTGTTGCATGGTTTTGCAATAAAGAAGGGACAAGAGCTTGTTCCAGCTCACCACCAATTCTTTGTAGTTTCGCTGGCGTTGGCCCGTAAGATTCTCTATTGGACTCTAGATTGAAAGCTCATCCAAAGATGAATGTGTTCTTCACATCCTGAGGACAGAGACGTGCTTTCCACCGTGATTGAAGTTTTCTGCTGGAGGGAGGCAACATGACACACGTGGAGCCGTGGCCAAGCTGAAGTGGCCAAAGTCGGTCAATAAGCTGAAAGCTAGCCAAATGGCAAAGCATGAAACAAAAATGCTAAACAAATGGCATAGAACAGTGGATTTGCAAATCTCTCGAGAGGAGGAAAAAGACATATACGGTATCATATACGTCTATCTATTCCAAACACAGGGTCCCAAACCTCCCTCGCGCTGGGAGCCGCTGGAGCTTAGTCTGCCAACGTTTGAAGAACGCCATGGCATCCTTTCACGCTTTACTTCAGCAGCTGGTGGATGCTCATGAGCCTTGCAGAATGTAGGGTCCGGTTTTGTTTGGTACCCAAGTGAATGTTAAAGCTGCTACTGTAAGCTCAACAACATCTACTCTTGGGGCTTGTGATTATTACTATGTATTGCTGTTGTTTTTCTCCGTAATCATAATTCCCACCGATTCCAACTAGTGGTTCTTCACCACCAAGTCGGCACAGCCGGGCATGAACGATTTCAGGGTTCCAAGACATGTTCCGGAAATGGAAAGGGGCTTCCCCGGGAGCCGCCGGGCAAGCGTTCCCTCACCCAGGAACCCACGCAGGTGGCCACTCTATCTACTTCGTTTGGTTGGTGTTTCTGCAAGCAGACCTTATTGAGATTGATTCGTTTTCGATCTGTGCCTTTGCCGTACACAACTCGGCATTGCCCAGGTTCCCAGGTCGGACCAGACGGTTTTTTGGGTCCGCGTGGTCCACCGAAGCGCCGTGATGGCTTGTTGGAACGCTCCAAAAGGTCAGGTCATACGGAAGAACACTCCGGAAGACCAAAACCGCTTTTTGAACAGAGACACATCTGAGGAATTCGGAGAAGTAGATGAATACCTCTTGCTATATGGGGAACCCCGGAAGAACGACCTATGTTTATCACTTGTATCTACAAGATAACATTTGTTGTTCAGCTTGTATGCCAGTGCTGGTATTAGTCAGCATTGAAAAATATTGTTGTTGGCATTGTTGTTTCAGTGTGTTTGGCATTGCTCGGTACAGTCCTTGTTTTGACATGACTCATGATGCTTTTGTTTCTTCTGGCAAGCAGACAAGCCATTTTACTTCTTGATCAGAAGGAATGGTTTGGGCAGGGAGACAACATTATGCAGGAGGGAACTTATCCATTCCAAAATTTCTCAATGATGAATGCGCAAGTGCAGGTGTGACCAGTAAACCACATCCACCGAATCATGTCTGAAACAAAACCACACTGGAAAGGTTATTTGCACCTTGGCTTCCATTGGGAATCCCAAATCAGTGCGACACACTCGTACAGGTATCAGGATGAACAATAACATTTGTCTTTGGGCGTGTATAGTTACAGGATTCCAAAAGCACCTTGTTTGTGCCAAAGATTGCTACGCCGCTACGCCGTACGGCAGGCTACAGTGATATGAAAGGGATAGGTTTCATTTTGAGCAACATGTTAATTAAACATGTGTTAACATGTCTTAACGGTTTTACTGTGAGCTTTCCTGGGATCATGACAGGAACCGGTTCAGTTTGCGCATGGACAAAGTGCAACATGCGGGGCAGAACTTGTTAGCACCACTGCACTGTAAATTGGCAAGGCTAGACACAATAAAGCCAGGATAAGTAGGACTTCAGGATACTTTCTTTATACAACCTGATATAGATAGCAACAGCGACCAGTTCAGCGACCAGCAACAACTTTCTGCCTATTTCTGCGGTACCGTCCGACCGGCTGCAGGAAGCGGACTTAGCACAGCTCCAGGAAAAGGTGGAGGAACTCCAAGAAGAGTTGGCCTTGTCCGGGCCTCGAGTCGAAACCACGCTGCCGCTGGGTTCGGGCCGTGGGGCCGTTCCGCCCTGCGCGGTCCTTGGGTCCTTCCGTGCTGCCCCTTGTCCGAGCAAGGAAGTGTCGGGTGAGGAGCGAGTATAGGTATAGGACCGGTGTAGGATGAGAAAGGCCACATGAGGGAGGAAGAGTATTGCTTCAAGCAGGATAGTCCTAGTTTGAGGCCGAGTTGGGTAAGTAATGACCACATAGCTTCAGCGCAGTCGTGCGTACGACAGATCTATGGGCTACTCCTTCTGACTCCGCTGACCACGACGTCCTGGGCCCTTTGTCCCTCCGCTGCGGGACTCGTGGCCGGTGCCGCCGTCAGGCTTCATTGCAGCGAGTGCCATCAGGTCGGGGCCTGCAGCGGCGTGACCGACGAGCCAACCGTTCTGAGGGGCCGAATCCACGGAGGGCAAGTATGTAAGTAGTCCTCTATATATATATATATATTTATAGCCACTAACCAGCCTTGTGGGTTTGTTTTGTCTAGCAACACTGCTTGTAGACAGCATCATTTGGCAGGTTTTGCTTTTGTATGTGCTGCATACACCGTCAAACCGTTCTACATTGGTATGCTGGCTGCCTGGTTTACTAGCTGTACTAGCTGCTGAAGAACAATTATGTTTGACAGATTTGGATTCTATGGACAAAACAGGAGACACATCTCCTTGAAACAGCTGCGCCTGGACCGGAAGCACATCATAGGATTGTCAAAGCAATCATGTCGATGCCAGCAGTTTCAAGTGCACAAACGTATTTCTACAAGTGTTCTTTTCTTATTTGGCATTTATTAGTTAAAGGTGATACTGCGAAGAACCTAAATCAAGAAAGGTATCAGCCGCCCTAGTTTCGGAAAACAGTAGTAGAAGGTCGAAGTATCAGCCGCCTGTGTGGGCTGGGTGATACAGACTGTGATACAGTAGTAAGTAGGTGAGTAGGTCGAAGTCTCTTTCCTTTTTGCCGGTTTTCGGGTCCAGGTATGTCCAGGTGAACTGTTTTCCGAGGACGTCGAGGTGTCCAGCCCCTCCCGGCACTGGGCCCTTGAAGGGTCGCCTGACGGCATGGCCACCGGCGCAACCGGCAGACGGCGCGAGACGGGCGTGGTGGCTGGATCGGTTTGCTCGATGGTTTGGACGGTTTGGTTCGAAAACTGCAGATGTTGCCTCACTGGCACGAACTAGCCATCCATAGATTTTAACAGATTGGGTGAACTGACTTGATCAGAGGTGTAATTTTCGAGAAACTGCGGTTTGTAGATGTTTGATGTGATGTGAATCTAAGTTCCTAGCTGAATCAAGCACGGTGCAGCTCCTATCTTAAAGTTCAAGAACGTGTTCTTCAAATCTTCCAGATTGATGTGTTTCTGTGTTTCTTTGGGTTTGCCTCAAGACTTCACTCTGCTTGAAACACATCCTGTTTGCGTCCCTTCAGCTCTCGAGCGACCAGACCTCGCTGTGACTCGATGACTTCACGGGACCTGTCGGACACTTCACACGTCTTTTTACAGCCAGCTTCCAGGTCTTTGTCTGATTTAACATAGGGAAACTCCGGTTCTTCACTTCAAAATAGGATAGAATCTTAGATGATGTCTACCCATTTGAATATATATATATATATTATATTATGTATTTGTGATTCTTTTGAGCACTTGTATTAGATTTCCTGGCCAGGTTGGCCACCCGGCCGTTATAGTCGTGCAAATAGTCTGCCCACCGGAAGTCCAGTATTGACTCCCTTTGGGTATCCTTTAGGTTATGTGAAGCACCGTGGACACTGGAAAACCGGGGACCGAACCCGTTGGTCCTGAACGCGTTTTCCGTTTTCTTTCTGCCCAGGCAGCATCATGCACCCCCTACCCTAATGGGCGAGGACCGCGCGCTGTTGGGATGGGTGGGATCAATCCGCCATGGTCAGCTGCAGATGCTAGATGTCCATAACTTTTTTAGGGGTATACGGTATACGGTATCCTGTGTGCTGGGTGTGGCACTCCAGGTCGGGCTCTTGGATAATCCTTTGCCTCCTTTGCCTGGTTGGAAGTGAAGATTTGATGCCTGAGAGATGATCCTGTGTTTGCTCCCCCGCAATGTAATGCTCGAGAATCTACGTGGCAGGCAGAGGATGCTGGGTTATTTGCGTGTACTGTGCGAGAGGCAGTGTAAGATACAAAAAATGACATTGAGAGGTGTTCGCACAAAGTTTGTTCATTTTCAGATTATGATTATGGTTCTTTCACTTCTAAGGGATGATGATTATTATATTATTATTATGGTGATGGTGATGGTGATGAGGAGGAGGAGGAGGATGAGGATGAGGATGAGGATGGCTGATGTGTTTGGTGTTACATGCGGGGTGTAAGACGCCGATGCAGCTGCAACACTAACTCTTTATATATATATATATATAAGGCGTTGCCATTCCACTTGCAGTGGCACAGTCTTGTGCAAACTCAGATATCGAACAGCTAACCATTGGAACTGTGTTTGACGGTCCGTACATTTCTAGCGTAGTAGCTGCAGCTGCCAGCGGAACTGTCACTTTCAAAAAAGGGACACTGTGGATGGAGTCTCAATTGGCAGACTATGACTTCTCCGCAAAGAAGTTCAGAATAAGTATTGCTTTTGCGGGGCAAAGATCATAAAGTTGAAGATGCTTCAACAGAA